ATGTGTAGTTTTCAAAAGTCTATACCCCAACAAATAACCATAGTAAAAAATAGTTCATTGATATAGATTAAGATATGAAAGATATGCTATAAAACTTAAAACCCCCTTAGTACCCCCACCACCATATACAAAAAAATCAGAATTGCAATTCAGTTAAACAGTCACTGAATATTTCTTCCATGGTAATCAACATATGGGTCCCGAGGTCAAAGGAACCAGAGCTGGAGCTGCTCTGACTGGTACATTTTTTGTCACTGGGTTAGCTGAAAACACTAGCACCTGATTTTTAGCACAGTCCTGCCTTGTTTCAGTATTTCTTCTGGGAACAAGCAGAGATGGCTTATGTAACTAGAGGTTGCTCATGTCAATTTTTTTCTACAAAAATTTAAGAAGCATGGGATAGAAGATAAGTACAAAAGAATGGGCACAGCATGGGGAAGGAACAAGAGCTCCTGCCCGAGGCCCTGCAGTCCCACCAAGTCCGAGGATGTTAGACACCCACTGTCAGGGTATGGCTGGGGCTTTCAGTCAAGCTCCATTTTAGATTATTGGTTATACTTTTCTTCAAAGCAAACCAGTAGCAGAATGAGGTGGTAAGAGGGGCTTGGGGGAGAGTCCCACTTCCAGACAGTATGAATGCAACAGGAAAGTAGGGACTGGAGAAAGCTACATCAAAATTAACACCTGAGACCCACAGCTGTCAAAGTGCAGAGAATAAGAGATTGTGAATTGGGGCTAGAGAGATGGCTCAGCAGTTAAGAACACTTGCTGTTCTTCCAGAGAACCCAGGTTGGAATCCCGGCATCCACATGGTGTCTATCTGTAACTCCTTTTCCAGGGGATCTGACACTCTTCTGGCCTCTGAGGGCATTGCATGACATGGGGGCACTTATATATATGCAGACAAAACACTTGTACACAAAAAATAAATAAACAAATAAATAAAATATTTAAAAAACAAAATGTGGAGTGCTTAGCCCTAAATGGGACACCTATATGATCTACATGGTAGAAGAGTAGAGGAAAGACTGTAAGAGGCAGGGTGGTAGATGACTATAAGGAAATAGCGTTTTCCAGACAGTTGGGCAGTTACATATATGAACCCACAGCACTTGAGGCAGCATGCACAAAACTTACACAAGCAAACCAGATAAATCCCAGCATGGAAGTGTGCATGTTGTGGGGCAGGGCAGTGGTGGCAAGAAGCCCCAGCCCTAACTGAGAAACTATTGCCAACTCAGCTGCTGGGAGAGGAAGAGTCAGTTTTCTTTAGGGGTGTGACAATGATAGGTTGATCAGCTTCAGGGGAAGGGCCATACTGAAGAGCATTTGGGGATACAAATTAATCCTGAGGGGGTGGAGATATGACTCAGCAGTTAAGAGACTGGCTGTTCTTGCAGAGGACCTGAGTTTGAGTCCTAGCACCTACATAGTGGCTAACAACCATCTGTCACTCCAGTTACAGGGGATCCGACAGCCTCTTCTGTCCTCCACGGGCATTGCACAAAACCGTGCACTTACATGTAGGCATTGTAAAATTGAAACCACAAAAGACAAGTCGAGCCCTCGAGTTGCAAAACTCTGAACTTAAGGCCTTGTATACTCTGCCATCCCCGACTGGTGTCACTAGGAACTAGAGGCAGGGATGATGTAACCTAGGGACAGAGGAATTATTCTGAACATGAAGTCTGACTACTACCATGTTCCTCTTAGGTCTTTGAGAATGAAAGCATTTTCAATTCTTCTCTGTGATTTAAATCCTATTAAAAAGCAGAAGCGTAGTTAACATCTTACACAGTGGTTCTTAACCTTCCTTGGAGATATTTCTTGCTATTCTGGTGTAAAGTTTGACCTCTGACACCAGGATCTATAGCTTTTCTAGAAGTTTAGGAACTTCACATGGTGAATCCCTGCAGGAGGTATATAAACAGAGTGGCATGGCAGACCAAATGAACCACATAATTTGAGGATGTTTCCTCTTACCCCTGGGCCCCACCATATGGTGTGAGGGAGGTGTTGGTTTCCATACTTGGCTCCATGGCTCAATGAAATTGTCTGCAGCATCAGGAGCCAATTCTGTCCCCAACGAATTTCCTCTCTGTCTCTTAATGCCTTTTAAAATTATGTCTTTTTTTTACAATTAAAAAATGATTTGTTAAATTTTCCACTACATATGCAGGAAAAAAGTAACTTTATACTTTTTACTTTTCTGTGACAGCCAAAATTGAAGAGAGGACTACAGGAGAAAGATAACTTTGGTAAATTGGTAATCTATAATTAGTGAGCCTGTTTTACTCCAAAGAAGAACTAAAATTTGAGTTTATATAAAAGTATTGGAGGCGGGGCTGGCCATCTTCAGAACCACATGGGAGAAGAGTTCTGAGGTTCTGCCCTTCTCATTTTAATAAGACCAGCACTTTCTAGTTCATCCAGGCCCTGTTCTGCACACACATGGAATGTTGCCATGCAGAAGCCCCAGTTCTAGGTTTAACTTACGTAGGCTACTAATGGACACACCTGAAATTTAATCAGTTTTTAGATGGGAGGGTTGGTGCAGGCACACTGGGTGGGTCTCTGCCTTGTACTACAGGCATTCATGTTATAGGTCTGGATCTGAGTCCCAGGGTACCTGCTGAAGCTTCCAGGCTCTTATGACCCCCTCAAAGAACTGGACCAGAGACACATGGCTAGAAATAGAAAGTTTATTAAGAAGGGGAAGAGCACTGGAGTAGGCGGTAAACTGAATGAAAAGCATGCACCCCCAAAGCCCTGGGCCTTGAGCCTCATGATCCTTTGTGGATCATTTGCATAGTACCTGCCTTCCATATTTGGAACCTTTGTCAGATCCCCTGGAACTGGAATTACGGACAGTTGTTAGCTGCCATGTGGGTACTGGGATTTGAACCTGGGTTTTCTGCATGAACAGTCAGTGTTCTTAACTGCTGAGCCATCTCTCCAGCCCCACCATTTATTATTTTTATTTTATGTGTATGAGTGTATTGCCTGCAAGTATGTAAGTGCACCTGTGTCATGCAGTGCCCACAGAGGTCGGAAGAGGGCATCAGATCCCCTAGAACTGAAGTTACAGGTGATTGTTAGCCACCATGTGGGTGCTGGGAATCAAACCTGGATCCTCTACAAGAGCAGCCAGTGCTCTTAACCCTTGAGCTGTCTCTCCAGTCCCAGTAATAAATTTCTTGATAGGCCCACAGAGCTCGCAGCCATAGCCACTGGCTGGGACACAAAAGGTGCTGATGATACTCCAGATCCCCACCCAGAACACACTGTGGTATTCTCTATCTCTCCATTTAATGGTCAGTTCCCAGCATTCCTCAAAGACTCAGGTGAACCTGAGAGCCCAGATTTGATGGGGTACAGCCACTTCCCGGAGAGAAGATGCAGTATAGGAAAGAGCACAGGAAGAATGAGCAAGGTGTGAGGGGCTGGAGAGAGCAGGGATTCCTGCTTCTCTCTGAAGTTTCAATTCTGAGGATTAATTTCTGAGCAGCAGACCACAACCTCTGAAATGCCAGGTAGTCAATAGATGAGTTCCTAGAGACAGCAAGTGCATCTGTCTCTTATTAAAAATGGATTCCAGGGGACCTTGATCAAGACTAGATAACAAGAGGAAAAGGAAGTCTGGGCTACTGTGTAACAGACAGATGTTTCATGAAAAGCAACTTTGGTCAGACTCCTAGCAACATGAAGTATCAAAGAAACTTTCCATTATGGTTCTAAAAAAATCATAGATGGACTGAACCTCACCCACCCCCAAATCAGTTTCCTTTTTTTGGGTCCATGTATTTGCCAAGTGTCCTCTCTGCAGGACAGGTTGGGCAGCATGCCTGGCAAGGGCTGGTTCTGTGTGTCACAAAGGGTGGGGCCAAGTCCTATGAAGCCTGAGCTTGAGGAGGGTTAACCCAGGTCGGGAAGCTCAGCATCAATGAGAGCATCCTACCCAAACTATTGCAAATCTCGAATAATTTAGATTTAGCAAGTTGGGAGGTTGTACTTAGTGAAATAGGTACTTACTCTGAAATTCCTTAAAGTTAAATGTACTTTATACAGAAAACTTTGTACATTCTCATACAAATTTTCTTTATTACAATAACTGGGAACTACCTTTGCCTCCTCTTGGTTGCCTGTTGGGGGCAGGGCTCTTGGTAAATAGAACATATGGCAGTTTTCATATTCTTTAAAGTATCCCGAGGAAGCGGGGTGAGAAAGACAGGTGAGCATCCTCAGCTGTGCAGCCATTCTGGCAAGAGTGGTAAAAGGGTATTTTGCAAAACAAAATAAAAATAGAGCTCCTCTCCTCCAACGTGGAAAAGAGGGTAAGATACTATGAAGGACTTTAAGAGGGATTAGTGAATGGCAGGTCTGAAGGAACATGTATAATCACCTCGACTTCGAACACTGAGACCACTGAGCAGTGGTTTAAGACGCTGCGGCAGAACCAGATGTGAGGCTGAAGGATAGACAAAGCGCTTGCCTAGCAAGCACAAGGCCCAGGGTTCAATCCCAAACACCAAAAAATTAAACAACAACAACCCCCCCCAAAACCCGAAGACAAAAAGCTAAGTGTTGGGAGTCTGGACAACTATTTGGCATCTTCTGATTGTTTGGAGTTCAAGTACAACAGAGCTCCTGTGCTGGATTTCCCGAGTGCCAATCAGGATGTGGGAAACCATCCGAGGAAGGAGATGAAGGGCTGAGGGACCAGGCTGGCAGGAGCTCAGAGGCCAGCACTGTTGTTCTTTGAGCCCCAACACAAAAGCAGCTCCAGTTGCTCTCTCAGGGGATGAATCATACAGGTACACAGTTTGATGCTGTTGGAGCTGGCTTCCTCAGTTCCCTCAGAGGCCTCCCAAGAAGCCTTTTCCAGGTCTTGGTGCTTGACTCCAATGCCTGGGACTCATCCAGGCTTTCTCATCAGCATTTACATGGAACATAGAGGCCTGACGGGACATTTCTTTCAGAAATTTATGTTAGGTACATACCTCATCTCCATGCATATTTGCCACGTATTTGAATTCTGGAATCCCAACTCTGTGCTCCTTTGGACACTGTCCCACAATAAGAACCCACAGGTTTCTACCTTTACAGGGAGGAAAGAGAGAAAAATAAGTTATCTCATAAAATGACAAACTCTGAGAGAAAGAACAGGACAGAAGGATGCTGTTCCTCCCTCCTGACTACAATTTCATGGTGACCTAAGTTCCTATGACTAACATTTCCATGCTTAAAATGCACTTCCTTTATTGTTAGAATTAAAGGAGACTCAATTTAATATAAACATTTATTATTCCAGAATGTGATTTAAAAGAACTGAACACATACTAGCTACACTGATCTTATTTTTTCAGAATGTTTATATACTTTGCTCCAAGATCCTAGAGCTTTATAGCAACAATCTTGCTAACACACACAATTACACAAAGTGAAATTATAGTTGATGGTTGACTGAAAGGGTGCCATGACTTACAGGGCAAAGAAAGTGAAAACAGCAGCAGCAATGAAACTTATAATTCAAGAGGGAGATTGTTTTTAAAGTACGAAGTTCTGTATTCAAGTGCTGATTTGACATGGTCTCAGTGCACTTTCTCTCTCTCTCTCTCTCTCTCTCTCTCTCTCTCTCTCTCTCTCCAGTGCTGGGGGTCTAACTCAGCGCCTTGCACACAAATGAGGCAAGTACCTTCCTTCCCTTGGTGTTACTGAGCCCAGGCTGGCCTCAAACTCATGAGTGTTCTGCCGAAGTCTCCCAAGTGCCAGGATTATAGGCACGCATTACCGCGCCTGGCTTTAGTTGTGTCTTTGAGGCTATTGAGTTCTATCAAGTAAGCCAGAAACCACAGCCCATCCTAACAATGCCAAAGAAAGCTTGTAAGTCTCCTTTCTGCCACAGACTGTGATTTGGGCAAGGAAGGGCAGAAACAAGATCAGAGGATATGCATGGGGCAGACATTACAGCTAGTGCTCTGCCTCATGTAATCTCAAGTGCTGTGTTGTCATGAATCACTGAGATGGACTATTAATAAAATGTTACAAGTGAGAAGTATTATGCAAACTGCTGTGATTACACAGCCATCAATCAATTTTTACAAATAGGAAAATATGAAAACCGCTATGATTGCGCAACCGGTAAGAACTGAATCCTGTCAGGAACGGTGGCGTAGGCCTTTGATCCCAGCACTCGGGAGGCAGAGGCAGACAGATTTCTGTGAGTTCAAGGTCAGCTGGGGCTACAGGGAGACCCTGTCTCAAAAAGTCCCCAAAAAAAAAGAATTGAATCCTGAGCTGTTTGACTTCAGTTCTAGCACCCCCCACTAATGAAAACAACTCATCTTTCAAGAGGCTTAATTTCCAATCCAGCAAAAAAATTAAGAAGTCAAGTCAGGCATGGTGGTGCCTGCCTATAATCCCAGCATTCAGGAGGCTGAGGAAGGAGAACTGCCGTGAGTTTAAGACCAGCCTGAGGTACACGGGCAAGTACCAGGCAAGTCAGGGCTATATAGCAAGACCCTGTCTCAGCGCTCTATCCCCCTACCCAAATTAAGAAGTCCCTTTTGATTTTAAAATTACCTGGCCCTTTTACTATAGTTCAGCATCAGAGATTGAAGTATGTTTGACATGTGTTATGTGTATACAAAGTTCACAACTAAGCTATACATGGAATTTAAAAGCCCAGGGAAAGAGTTTAACAGCAACAAATGGGCTAATGTTGAGTAGGTCTCTTCAGAATTTCAAAACTAGTTCCTTAAGTTAGGGATCCTAGAGTCTGGGGAGCACTTGCTGCCATGAGAGGCAAACATACACTGGATTTCTCTTTTTCAGCATTTTCTCATAATTAATTGGAATAATATCTTAGGAAAACCTTTCATGACAGTTTTTAAACTCAGTAACTGCAAAAAAATACCCACAAAATGCAGTTTAGTTGATTGAGAGCCCCTGCTCTGTGCATAATTCTCATCCATTCACTAACTCATTCATTCATTCATTATCTACTTATTGAATACCACTATATTCAATCATCCATCCTGGATCAGACTGTACAAATGAGTCTTGCTCCGTGTCATTTTTTGGGGGTGGGGGGGGAAGTGTGCAGGGAATTGAATCCAAAATGCTAAGCATGTGTTCTTCAGCTGAGCTGTACCTGCAGCCCTGAATGCCTGATCTAGTGAAGAAAAGCGACATGTAAACATACAATCACAACACAGTGTGACATATATAACAACAGAAATGTATGAAGGTACTGTTGTGTGTAGAGTCAAAGCAGGAATGTTTACCCTTTTCCCAGGAGGAAATTATGACACACTCTGCAAAGGCAGAGGTTCAAACATAATGCTTCTGAACAGAGTTCTGGAGAATTCTGAGTTTGCCATGTGGAGATGAACACATCCTCTGCTTATTTCCCATCTGAAGCATTTAATTAACCAGATCCCCTCCATTCCCTAATGGCACCTACTCTCTGGGCATCTGGAACTCTAATCCTACACAGTTAACATTTTTACGAGAAACAAATAATTTTTTATGAGTGAGATGTTAAACATGGTTCTCTGAGTTTAATTCCAGGGAATTCTTTTTTGTAACTATTAATATTTTCAAAGCTAGATAATCACACATTTGTACTGTGTATGGTCTTATTTCTCACGGGCAAGGGAAAATTCAGGATCATTCCAACATCATATTTATCAGCTGTTATTCATAATTCAGAGTCCACAATAGCTGTCCTGTTACATAAAAGACAGTGAATGACAAAACCTTACTTGATATGGACATCTGATATTATTTAGTTTAAAGGAGGGAGGAAATTAAACCAAACAAAGCTAAGTGAAGAAGTACTTTGGTGGTAACTAAATCCCACTTTTAGCATGGATGACCTCTAAGTGAACTGCAAGATGACAAATTGACCTTGAGTGACTCCAGTGGTACTGTGTCTGAGAAAGAAACCAACCAGTCGCCTGTAGAATGCATAATCCTTTTGGAATGAGGACCCTCTTAAAGGGCTTTAACTACCCTCTCTACCAACACTGACCCCTAGACAGAGTAAGCACACAAAAGACACACCACTTACTTTTAACCATATAATTGCCAATCTAAGAGTAATTTAAGTAAGATTTTAATTTTTCTAGTAAGGCTGGAAATACTAATTTTATTCCCCAAAGTTCTACTAACATCAGGTGTGCTCAAGAGCTCTGAAGCAGGGCAGGCAAGATGACTCATGGAATTAAAATCCTTGCTGTGCAAGCCTGACCTGAGTTCAATCTCTGGAACCCATGGTGGAAGGAGAGAATCAACTCATTCTCTTTACTACAAAGTAAATAAAATTTGAATTCAAGAAATTTCAGTATTTGATTTACTAACTCAGGTTTGACACAAACTCTGGGGTTGTGACACGTGTTTTCAATGGGGTTGGCTTGGAGAATCACGAAAAGATTTACAGTTTAGAAGCAGTCACTAAAATCCAGGAGACAGCCTGGGGAGATGGCTCAGCGGGTAAAGGTACCTGACACCAAGAGTGAAAACCAGCATTCAATCCCCAGAACCCACAGCAGAAGGAGAGAACCGACGCCTGAAAGTTGCGTGCTAACCTCCACATGTGTTCCAGGGTACATAACACACACAAATAATAAATACATTTTTTTTGTATTGTTTTTTGAGACAGGGTCTCCCTGTAGCTTCAGGTGGCCTGGAGTTCACTAATGTAGACCAGGCTGGCCTTAATCTCTCTGAGATCGTCTGGCTCTGCCTCCTGAGTGTTGGAATTAAAGGTATATACCACCATGCCCAGCTAATAAATAAAAGTATTAAAATAAAAAAAAAATCTAGAAAACCAGGCATATGCCTCAGATTTCTGTAGGAGTTCAGGAAAATAGAAGAAGCTTAGAAAAGTAAAAGCTTTAACAGGTCAAAATGGGAAAGACGCCATTCCCACATCAGAATCACCTGTAATCCTTGGCAAAACAAAATACTCTCTCTCTCTCTCTCTCTCTCTCTCTCTCTCTCTCTCTCTCAACTTCTGAGTACCAGCCTCCAGCCACTAAATCAAACTTCATAGAGTCTAAAACACTGAATGTGACCCTGAAAGTCACTAAAGTTTGAATGCCACTGAGACTGAGTCAGTGAATGACAGAGTTAGAAAGCAGCTGATCCTTAGATAAAGCAGTCTCACTGTTCATTCAACAATATACATGTTTCTATGTTAAGAAAGTTTTATGTTAATTGTTAGACTTTTTAACATAACTGCTAAATGTCTTACTATAACATATGAGCACACTACCATTTACTCAACCAATTTTCTATTGTTAGTTATCCAATAATAAGTATTTCTATGCAACTGTGACATGTCCAAGTTTTATAACGCAAAAAATTTATAACATAAAAATATCAGAATGCCAAAATTGTGTAACATTCAACCATGTTATAACACATTACTTATTAAAAACCTATAGCCCCATAGCAGATAAAGCCTTCATTTAATTTAATTTTTATAAGCTTAAAGTTGAACGATGGAATCATTGGTAAAGGAGTTAAGTGATACAGTGATACAGCTGAGTAATTTCTTTTAACTTTTCCATTTTTTCCAGGTTTTAATTAAATAAAAAGAACCAAAATTCTAAATCTTAGCATTTGTTATGGCCAGATTTTATGTGCCAGGGACTATGCTAAGTAAATACTTCATGCAATTTGATCCTCACAATCTGTGGTGGGTGATAGCCACAATTTACAGCCAAGGAAATCAAGTTAAATGGCAGAACGATGGTTTAAACCCAGACCTTTCTGATTTCAAAACAGGTGCTCTTTTGACAATACCATGCTGCCTCAACCTTCCTCAAAGTATCAGACAGGCCAGAGCCAGCTGTATCCTGGGGAAAAATTCCCAGGAAGTTAGTGTCATTTTGCTATGATTTGCACTACAGCAGAAGTCTGCTTACAACCTGGCTATGACTGATCCAGGAAAAACAACTGAACCAAAGCTATGTTCTAGGGTCTTCTAGACTAGGTATTGAGATAACACATCCAGACTACTTCTATATTGAAAGTTTCAGGGGACATGCCCAGAGAGAAGCAGAGACCTTGGGTGGCTCTGTCACTGGG